GTGGGTCTTCGTGGGGGTTAGGATGCGGATGTGGGTGATCGTGTTGTTGGGGTGCGTGTGGGGATTGATGTTCGGTGAGGTGTAGAGGTGGTGTATTCTCATGCCTTGTTATATCCTCTTTGCGCAGCTGCTCCATACCCATACCCAAGCTCTCTCCACATTGTATAGGCTGCTCATGATGCAGATGCAGATGATCTCCTCCATGTCCTAAACTTAAACGTCTCCTCTCTCCGCCCTTCCCATATACCTGCACACATCCCCACCTCCCCCACTCGCTCAGCCGTCTCCTATCAGGAGGAGTGCCACGCCCCATGAATGCGCGGGGAGGCTCGGAGAGGATGGTGACGTGGAGGGAGGAGAGGGGTGGGGTGCGTGGGAAGGTGGGCGGGTGTATTTGTGGTGGTGTTGGGGATGGCATTTGGGGTGAGTGTATCGGTGGTGGTGTCTGGGGGGTGGATGTGGGATGTAATGGTGGGGGTGTTGGTGTTGAGGGCGTTTGATTAGATGCGGGCGTTAAGGAAGGCGTTTGTGTAGCCGTTGATGTCGTGGGAGTGGTTGAGGTAGCAGGAAGACGCTGAGGGGTTGAAGGAGGAGATGGAGTTCGACGTGGAGGGGAACACGGCGGGGACGCACACAAAGGGCGTGGAGTGGGTATGGTATCCAATAAAGACCGCCCACCAAGCGCAGGCGGCGAGGTAGATCTCGGAGGTGACGTAGCCTGTTTCTGCGGTGTTGGCGCTACTGACACTATCGGCGGCAAAATTGTCGGAACCGTCGGAACCGTAGGGGTCACAATCGCTGGGACACAAGGTGTCGCAATCCCCTTAGCACCATCAACATCCATCAAAAACAAGCCGTCCTCGCCCTCCGCATCTTCTTCGTCATCATCATAATCGTCATCGTAGTCGGCGCCAAGGTCACATTCATCCAAATCTTCATCTTCATCCTCTTCGTCGTCCATATCAAAATCAACAGCTTCGAGTTCTGCGGACTTGTAGGTGTAGCTTGCGCGTTCGAGGTAGGAAGCGGGTGTGTAGAGACGGAAACGGGTGTTAGAGGGGTGGGTGTTGGGGGAGGGGAAACGGGCACGTGCTTCGGATGCGACAAGGGCTTTGATAGTGTCTATGCCATAGCGGCGGAGTCTACAAGGCGTCAGCGGTATGTAATAAAATAAAATTGGAAGACTGACAGGAATTCCACTCGTTCTTGACATGCTAATTTCCAGATGTTGACTTCTCGATCGCGGTGTGGAGCGGGTGTGTAGTCGAACGAGTTTGGTTGGGAGAAGGTGGCTGGGGTTGTGTTAGATGGGGGTATTAATGAAGGAGAGAACATACCTTGTTGGGGGTATCCGTTGGATTGGTTGTATCCATTGTTATACTCTTGGTTAGAGAATGCTATGTTTGAAAAGGTATTGTCTTGGGAGGGAGAAAAGCTGGGTTGGGGGATGAACTCGTGAGAGAAGCCAGGGGGGAAGGAGGTAGGATTTGAGGGAAATGGATTTGACCCGAAAGGACCGGGCGGGGATGATCCGAAGGGGATGGTATTGGAGGAGAAGGGGTTGATATCTGTGCCAGTGGGAAATGTGGCGTTTGACTGAAAGTCTGAAGAGTTGGTGTAAGGTGGGTCATGTGAAGGGAATTCGGGCAAAGGATCTAGTGGGATTAAAGAGTCAAGGTCGAGTGGCGTCGACAACTTGGCCTCTGTTGGTTTGGGCTCCATCAATGGTTCTGGCTCCGTCGACTCCGTCATCGACTTGGGTTCCGTTGTCGACTTGGACTCCGACTTGGAGTCGTCATCCTTGGGCGCTAAAATACTGGGTTGATCGGTGAGCACGCTGCGAAGTGATTCTTGAGTTGTAACTGGTTGTATAGGTAGATCGATGATTGTCGGCGCGAGAGGTGGAATGTGGCGTGGCTTGGGCACGTTTTGAGCACGGGTTCTGGTTCGTACTTGGCGCATGCGTCGACGCACCTCCCCGACGTTACCATGCCCGATATTGGTATTGTCATTCTCTTTGCGTCTCTTTCTCCGATGATGTGCCTCTATATGAGAGAGTAGAAAACTGTCCGAGTCAAGCGCTAAACGCTGACGTTTGAGTGCTCTGAGTGCACGTGGGGTGAGCTCGTCATTCTCGCTGGTAGAATTAACTCCTTCTTCTATTATTTCGGGGTGATTCGAAGGACGTCGTTTAGTCGTGTGGTGATGGTGATGAGGGTGTTGTGCTATTCGGGTTGAACGGCGAAGGACGATGTCAACGGCAGCCATAGAACGAGCAAACAGCGAGTCTGCAGCTCCGGTAAACAGTAGCAATTCGATCAGGAAATAGAAATTGCAAAATGAATCAAACAACAACAGAACCAGCGGGAACACTCACAAATCAACGGATCACGTAAGCGTGCACGGACCATATCACGTGAAGCTCACGTGTGCCGGGGATAGTGTTCTGCTCGCAACATATGCGCAGATCAGGGATAAGACTGATCAATCATTGACAATTACACTCATTGGGCGAACCTTTGCAGTCCCTTTTCCCGGTTATAAACCGACCTATCAGAATCTCCAGCTCATTCAAAACCAGGTCCCCATCATGAATAACAATACTGATATCGTATCTAGCAGGTCCTATGCAATATCTTCTCTTCCCCACACCGACCACTTGTTGCCTAGATCACAATTCCCTCCTATGCTACTCATCAGAATATGCCGTCGATAGAGGGAGGTTTCCGAGGATACTCCTTTGTTGTGGTGCAAAGACTCGACAAAAGAAACATGCAGCAGTCGGTCTTCTGCTATGACTCATGGCTGAAGCGCACACGAGGACATCCCCTTTCCCTAAAAATCATATGCTTCAAACGCAGCTGCTCCTCCCTTCGACCCCTTCTATCCTCTCTCGATATCACGTGTAGCAACCCTATCGAATACAAAACCGTACTAAATGACCTCCCAGTACTTCAGGAGCTTCGAGTTGACATGATGGACAGTGCTAGTATTCACAGGTGCACTCTACCCATCTCCCGACTCTCCGTTCTACGCACTCTTGAGTTCAAAGGACTTTCCAGGTTCAACTTCGCCTCTTTACCCGTCCTCAACCCCATATGGGCACACCTGTCAAATCTGACACTCGACTCATACGAGCAAGGCGCTGTAATACACTTGCTCCGTCTTGCTCCCGACCTCTCCTCATTAACAACATGCTTACTCTTATGCTATGAATTTTGCCCAGGACCATTCACTCACACCAACATTCGATCCTTTTCCATCAAAGCTAGCCAAGGTCGTTTTCGCACCTGTTCAAGGCACGCGCTTCCAAATGATCCAGTGGCTATCTTTCTTAATGTGCTCACACTCCCCAATCTACGTGTGCTTGCCGTTGGCACAAGATCCCGGACCGGTGAAGAGCTGAGGGGTGTTAGGAGTGGTACGGTTGAAATGGCTATTGATATTGAAGCTTTAGTTGAAGATGGGCACTCGAGACCGCGATACCGATTGGCGAGCAAGATTAGTGAGCAGGACAGTTTTTGGCTTTGGATGACCTATATTCGCCACGTTTATGCTGTGTTTTTCGCAAAGGTATACTTTTCCGTTATCCATCATCCGCTCTGTAAAGTAATGGTCGACTTCCGCATGTGGAAGATGCAATCAATGTGCCTGGTCTCAGAAGCCTGCGACAGTCATATCTAGGAACATTGCAGAAAGATAAAGCCAGGTAAACCAAACACAATCTTGAACAACGTTAATCATTCTAAATGGGCTCCGATCGAGAAATAGAAACTGTCGAGTGAATCAAACACAATTGCATAACACGGAGGTGTACTAAGCTGAGATCCGCAACGATGTCCCTCAGAAGACCCTCGCCAGTTGCAAACTACCCATGAATTGGGTCAATTCGAAGTTCCTGGAGTGTCGGGAGGTCGTTTAACAATATGTCAAGTTCACATCAGGGCATTCGCGTGTTTGGAGATGCGATTAGGACACTGGAGGTCCCATAGACTAGATCGTAATGTCCTACATAGAGTATTACTCTGCAAAGGACAAAAATTGGATTCAAAAAAAAAAAAAAATGTCAAGTGCGACAGGACAGGCCAATGTAAAGTTGAGAGAGGATATTCGATGGATGTAAGGCTGTAGAAGGGTTCGTAGAGTGGTGGAGTCTTATTCGAAGCACATGCCAACATCTAGAGTGAGGGGATATCCTCGCGTGCACTTGAGCAATGAGTCATAGCAGAAGAACTACTGCTGCTGCAAGTTTTTCCGGTCGACTCTTGTAGATAATTTGCACCACAACGAGGGCATATCCACGAAAACCTCCCTCCATCACGGTATACCCTGGTAAGCAGAATAGGAGGTGAACTTAATTCGGGCGGCGTGCAGGCTATTCCGGGGAGAGTGTAAATAAGAATATGGCACAGGACTTCGGTTGGAAGTGAGATACGAGACTACCAGTCTCACTGTCGTGCAAATTCATGATGGTCGTATGGAAGGAAAACCAACCTAGATGAACGCATCCGGTCTGTGGCTGTGCCACAAACAGATGTCGATCATTGGCCCTCTGAGCTTTCTTGAACATCTAGTGAAATTATTCGCTGCGGACTGGTGAGTTTTCTGATCAATATCCAAACCATGCGCCCAAGTGCTTACATATCATCAGAGAATCTTTTTACGACCTTGCCAACTCGATTGTCGTCTGTGTATGTCGACGCTGCGCCAAACGCTGTAGACGTCGAAACCTACGATACACGTAGTGTTCATATCAAGATCAATCGCCCCAATCCAGTTCTTCACACAATTAAGTACATGAACCAGCCAAATGACCTTGAAATCGGTATCACATTTCCGATTGAAGCAGGCACACGGCTCCAGGTACTGAGTAGCCTTCTGCATGATAAGCATGGGAGAGCAGCATCATATATCTCGTGGGTGATTAAAAAATACGAAGGTACTTTGCAACGAATCGAGGTGATGAAAGGCAACTCGGTGATGGGAACTTGTAAGTACATTTAGATGTCCCTATAGCTCACCCACCACTGAGGTAGTTGGCTGAACAACGTCGTCATCATGTCCATTTGCGCTTGTGTAGGCTGTGTTTGGAAGCTGACAGGATCGTCTGAACAAACGGAGATGACCATCACCACCTTTTCTGCATCGTACTTGACTTCAAATTCATTATCGGCGTCTCCAAACACTGAGGCTTCGTCTTCATCATCATGGCTTGTATAGCCCTTATCTTCGTCCTCCTTTGTATCCTCATGATGGTTATTGGTGATAGTCTCGTGTTCGTCAGTTTTCGTCTTCGTAATGACTTGCATCGCACTGATCTTCATCAGTCTTTGGGTCATCGTCTTTTTTGTCTCAAAGGTGTGCTGGATCGCCCTCGCCTTCGTCAGTCTTTGGGTCATCCTCATAGTGAGTTGACTCTTCATCATCAGTCTTTGCATCGTCTTTTTCGTCTTCATGGTGACTCGAGTCTTGTTCATCAGCTAGTGCTTCTCCCTCCTCCGAGTCTTCATCTGCCGAATCCTCAGGTTCTAATACCGGGTTGACACAACATTTGTAATCCAACTGATGGCGGCGCAACTCCTTCAAAAGCCAATTACGAGTGAACTACGCACACATAGAATCATAAAAATTGGCGGGATCGATGGACTTATTGGTCTCGTTCTCGAAAGCGAGAGTCAAATCTTGGGTGAGGTGATAACCGTAATGTTGTTCGTGGTTTTCTCTAGGGGGACACTCGATATCGATTTAAGATCCCTGGGTGGCCGAGGAAATCTGCGGCGTTGAGGTGAACCTGGAACTCGAGGCTTGGACGAATTCTTTGAATAAGACCGAAAATTGCTCGAATGACAAGGATATCGTGCGTGAAATGTTTGGGATGAGGTTCGAGGGCTCGACGTTATATATGATCTCCTTACATCCACTGTGGCCTTTCAGACTCTTTTGCTTTGTTCCCCGGTGGTTCTCCTAGTCAATGCTAGATCGAAGTGTATGGAAACTTTGACATCATGATCGCTTCGTCGGAGGCCATACCGCTGTGCGATGCTTCCAGGGAACGGTTTTTCTCAGTGGCGTGCACAGCGGCCGCCAAGCACAGTGCTTCACAACAACTGGGAACATTCTAATCGCACGCAAATCGGTCCTGTCTTTGATTCGTACAAGGATATGGGACTCTTCTACATACAGCGGTGATACAAAAGACGGACAGGAAGTGTTACACGCAAGGAGTTGAACAAGAAGTTGAAACCACGAAGGAAAAAGCAAGGAAGGCGGGATATCACATTATGCAATCGAAGCATAACGTTCAGGTTTGTGTGACACATGAATCATACTAATGTTCTACTAAACTAGCCGTAAGAATTGCGCAGTACGAAGAAGTAAAACTGATCTCACCTCCAGAAGTCATGCACTACGTATTAGGCTCTACAAGGGCATTTTGGGAAGCAGCTTGACGATTCGGTCCCGCTTAACAGCACCTCCATCATTGCCAACATAGCGGACGGAATCAAAGTGCCAGTGAAGTGAGCCAATCATCCACTGCTGCAGCCCTTCGATGTAGATAGCCACCTGCCTGTCAACCTCTTCTCCCCATGAGGGGAGAATGGCACAGTTGGATTCAAAGCGCTGGAGGGCATCTTTGCACATCTGGCCAGCGTAGTCCATGGCGCTTTGCAGGTCTAGTCCTTGAACATGCATGAGCACGGCAACTAGGTTTTCCCATGGTGCGCCACCGCTAGCTTGTTCCTTGTTGTATGACAAAATATCCTGTTGGCGGTAATGTCAGCGGCACCCCAGTGATCAACGACAAAACAGAATTACGTTGACCCAAGCAACATGATCGGTAGCCGCGCAATCCAATCCCTCGTAAGCTGGATGCGACACAACCTCGTCGGGAAGATCAATTCCAGTTGCGAATTCGATGAGGGCAAAGTAGGGCTGCATCCCGACTATACCTCGCCTCTGAATAATGTAAGATTCCAGATCATACGTATTTCCTTTGGCACGGTCCTCCAACTGCTTAGCCACAGCAGCGAAGTACAATTCCTTTCCGCGGATATACCGCTCTCTGCAGCCGGGGCCAGCAGTCTCCCTGAAGCGGTTGGAAAACCTAACCACATAACGATTTTCAGACAGAGTGTGTGCGGTATATATAAAAAGACGTACGATTTGCACATCCTTGCAGGACGGTGTTCCGCCTCAAAATTGATGGGATCGCGGAGTACAGGAATACACCATTCATGCGCTTTCCGTGCATCGACGCCACCAGACTCCATCAAGTCGTCCATAATGAATGCGAAGTTAACAGATTCAACACAGAGTTGGAGACGGCAAGCATCTGCATCAGGATAGATCAGGGAAACAAATGCGGCTGCGTCCATATCGCGATACCCCCTGAACTCGGGTTCTGCAAGTTCCCCCACTTCAGTAAGCCATTTTTCAGATGCGCGGGACGCCGCATGACGGTGAGGGTTCTTTCGCAAGGGAAACTTGCAATCATTTAACAGGTCAGGCAAAATGAATTGTGAGGGTTCGCAGTCAGGAGTAGTCGTGTGGGTGACAGCAGGGGATGTGATAGGGGTCGTCGGATTCATATTGTGAACGTAGAGATGAGGAGCATCTAGGTGCAAGATCGTCAGTCTTTATAGTGATTTTTAGTGCCAGCGGATGTCTGTCTCGCTCGGATTAGCGAATGCGGATATTGAAGTTTTTTTCCAGTCACCATTCAGCATAAGCGAGTCCCCACCTGTGACTCCCACTTAACGACATTCATTACAGGTGCTAACACACGGGTATCGCACCTATAAGACAAGGGGGGTTCTCGTCTTATAGGTGCGATACCCGTGTGTTAGCACCTGTAATGAATGTCGTTAAGCGGGAGTCACAGGTGCGAGTCCCATTAGGCAAGACCATCCCATAGATTAGAGAGTACTGTCCTACATAGGGTTCTATCCTCAATGGACATAAGTTGGAATGAAAAAGGCAAAACCAGGAAAACTTATCGGACGCGCAGACCCGGTCGCCGTGTTCACTGTTCCAGGGTCCAGTGCCACTTCGTGTGACTTGTATGGCTCGTGAACTATATAGCAAGCTTGCCAATCAAGTGGACCAATCACTTTATGTCTTAGTTCAGGGCCAGGTCAAAAGACGGTATGCGTCTAAACAGATAACGACTTCGTAAGTGCCCAGTCGAGTGTTACCGAATTTTGCCAACTGGTTCGGCAAACTAGTTGCAATTGGTCCTCGGCAGAACTCACGCGAAAGGGGTGGCAAAACTCCAGGGTATCTGAGACTCGCGAAGATGTAATTTAGGTCTCTGATAACACAGATTGAACTCAAGAGAACATGAAAATCGACGTCTCTAGAGTAAGATGTGTATGCTGGAGGGCACCCCCTCGCATCACTGATCCACGACAATTTCGAAAACCTGAAACGAAATGATGTTAGATAACAATTCGCATTGTTACTACTGGAATGCAAATGCAAACATTGTGGCTACACTCATAACTCATAAGATGCTCAAACAGTATCTCGCTTGAGTCCGACGAAATTGCTGCCGAATTTGCAGCTCTCGAAGAGTTGAAGAGGACTGAAGAAGTTCAGAGCATTAACGAAGTTGAAGTACTTGAGGGAAATGTTTTTGATTTTGACAAGTCGGATCGGGTCGAACAAGGAATATATAATACCACAGGCTATTCTAGATGAGGTTGAGGTGGTTAATTACAATGGCGAGGGTGACGGCTGGGACGAGGTAACGTTGATGGCATCATTAGGAATGTTGTACACAACATAGCTAGTCGCCTAGAGTTTTGCCGGATATAACCGGCAAAACTAAATCCAAGTAGTTTCGCTTCCTACACTACTCACTGGAAAGAGCTAGACGACAAAGTCTCAGCGAGTGTGTAGACAACGCTGAGGTGGGAATACGAGCAAGCGGGATAAATGGGCAAGAAGACTGCGAGACGGAAAGAAGCTACAGTGACATGTGGTGTCGAAGGTGAAGACACACGAAAGAGGAAACGGAGGTCCCGGAGGTTAGTCCTCCGGGATGCGTACGTATGAGATCGGATCGCTTCGCTCAACACTCACAAGAGCCATAATGTCTCCTTATCACTAGGGAACTGCACGGGTAAACGGGCACCAGAGGCCATAACCGTACCGGCACCCGCTCTGACGGGTACGGGTTTTCGGCGGGTACCACAAGCTCAGATCCCTACCCACACCCAGGTTGGGTTTACCCGCGGCTACCATGGGTAGCATATACAAATTAGAAAATTATTAGATACCGAAACAACGAAAAAACGCACCTACATTACCAGTTATGAGTGCGAACGAACGAATATGAACGGACGGGTGTAATATTTTCGCTGGAGCTACAATAACAGTAGATGCCCTGACACGTAAGGGATCCAATAAATTCGAGAATGCACATACCTATACATTTTAAACATGCTCACGCACCAAGCGCATCTAGCTCGACGTAAACTGTTACAACGGAGAGCTATCATGCAGGCGGATTTGGGTACTGGATAATAAGACAATTTTCCTGCGGCAAGTCCTGTGAGTCTTTGTAACACTTTCCAGAAACTATACTGGAGGTACAAATGCACCACCTCTCCCTGAGGTGTCTCCCAAACCAATCTTCCACCACCCCGTCAGGCATCGTCAGGTACCAACTCATATGCATGCGCTTGCTGCTATCCAACGGCAGTCATGCAAACTGCTTCTGAAGATACCGAGCTCTACGTCGCCATGTTCTTTGGTATTGTCGACGACTATTGCAGAGATTGGGGAGGAGATGGATGCACGCAGTAAACACCCAAACCTCGAGAAAGGCGTATGGACAAAAAGACCGATGCGTCCTGCGGCAGTATATCAGTACTCTTGTCGTCGTCGTTCAAAAAACACTTACACATCCCACCGCTCTCTCCACCCACGTCCTCACAACGCCAGAATGCATCACATTCCTGAACATGCGCGGGACTAAGAGGCGATGGTAGTCATGGACGCAGACGAGGTCGTCTGTTTAGACATTGGCGGTGCGAATTGTGGATGCTTGATTGGCCTCTGCAGTGGTTGGACGAGGATTGGATGGAATGATTGGATGTATGGTTGCAGGACGCGCGAGTATGATGATTAGACGTACAGTAAGATAAATAGAACCGTCAATCGGACAAAGTATAAAACGAACGAACACACCTGCTCATAATATTCATAATTAACATCTGCGCTCGTATACTCCGTCGTTACGCGTCACGTCCCGCCAGAGGAGGTAATGGAAGAGAAGCCAGAGAGCTGTGTGAACGTTACTAGTGTCATGCCAATAGTCAGTGTTTGGAGTCAATAGTTGACATTTGGGAGAAGGTGCTCCGGGCCAGTAGCAATAAAAAACATGATGAATAAACATATA